GGATTTCAGTTAGATGTTTGTTATTATAGAAAAAATCAAAAATACATTTTCGTTTAAATTTTTGTCTTTGACTGTATGGGTGACAATAAGAATTCGAATGAATGCTATTTAAATAAGAAATTTTGAAGAATGACTCATCAGAAATATTCGAAACTTTCAGGGTAGATAGATCTCAATAGTTGCTATAGACTTCAAATTTCCAAATACTTCCTTCTAGGAAATATTCCGACCGTAAAGGTTAAAATTCATTCCGCTTTCCCAGCCGCAATAAATCCCATACGGTTGGAATTTTTTTTTATAGATACTCGACACTGTTCGGAGTGCCCACTGTTTTTGGCTTCTCTTCATCTCCGTCCATTCGAATAATTTTGAGAAAAATGAAAAATTTATTATTTCATTTACCTTTAACAGTTTCAACAAGTGGATAAAAATCTGTATCCATCATTTTTTGAAGAATTACTTCACATTTAACATCTTTTTCCTAATATTCGAAAGAAAATTATGCTTAAAATGCTATTTAAAAAGAAAGAAAAAAAGTCAATTTCTTACCATTGATAAATATTGACATCGACCACTAATTGGATTAAAAAAGAATCCATCAATACATAAATAAATTCTATGAATTCCAAATGTACAATAATGAAAGAGTGAACAATTAGTTGTATAAGCATATGCTCTATTTTCCATAGGACATTGTCGAAAATTAGGATCTTCATTTGATATAGTCAATGGTATTGGAAAAAAACTTCCTAATTATAATAATAGAAAAAGACCGAATTATTTTTTTTGTTTTTGTTTTGTTATTAAAACTTCCATTTAATTCTCTTACCATATTCTGATTGACATAATATTTTATTGAATTGTAGAAAACTAACCATAATAATAACAATAACAATAGCAGTGAGTGAATGCATCTTCTATTTGATATATATGTCTATATGAATTAGAAAGTTGTGTCAACGAAATGTATAATAATGATTGCGTTTGATTTGGTCATCAAACGATAGTAGACCTTTATATACATGATGTAGTGTCTCGGTACAATACTCATTTATTTATACATTCTTTTTATAGTGTATTTTATCATTGACCGAAAGTTCAATCTTTACATTTACTATATAGTTTGCTTTGCTAGGCTTACTCGTTCTCTTTTTTTCTCTTTTCTTCGTTTTTTTTCATATTACTACTAGATACATAAGACTGACATTGACAATATATTTGACAAACATTTACATTAGTAGGTAGTTGATAAAATAATTAGTTCGATTCTAATTGCATTATTCCACAAAAGAAAAAAAGAATTTTCTTCAATTATATTATTAAATAATTTAATATAGAGATTTCTTTATTCTAAAGAACAAAATCTTTCCATTATTATTATGTTACTTTACTTTTATTGACAATCTTAATATCATGTCTAAATGCGACTACTGATTATAAGGGACTAGAGTCGTTGATGAGAATAGAATTCCAACACGTTTCACGCATAATACTTCATCAGAATTAGTTCTTTATCCTCTTCTTCCTTATCTTCTATTTCGAAATGTTGCATTGTGATTATTTGTCGTACTTGGTATTTATATTGCGCTTCTACGAACAACAGAACAGAAAAAAGAAACAGATAGAGTGAGCTAAACAAGAAGAGTCTTCAAAGCTGAGTAGACTATTTTGTGCGAACATATTCATCAAACAAGTTCTAACTGTTTAGGATCTATTATTAGTATTTCAAGCATATAATTACCATCGTCAACGATTTCAATAGATAACAATGCCACATTATAGTGAACATTGTTAGTACAACTGGTATAGATCGAAACAACTGTTATTATTATTTTTTATATGACAATGTATAATGATAGTTAGTGTCGTGTTGAGACATAAGAAAGTCTATGAGCAAAGACAAACATATGGTGCCATTCAATAAATGAAAAGATCGTATTCAAAAAAAAAACGAACATCTGTTTCTACTAACAAACAGACATAGATCTGTTGCAAAATTCTCATCTTTACTCTAAAAAGAAAAAGAAGGTATCAATTTTTTTGACTTTAGGGACATAACAATTGTAGAATAAATCTCAAGTAAAATAGATGTTGTACATATATGTTTTGTACCTATTATTTGATTTCAATTAGATGCACAATAATAAACAACGATTTTGTTTTTTAAATAGATTTACTGAACATAAACATATTATAATACTACAAATATCAATCGAATAAATTACTAAACTTTTTCATAGGATACTTATAATAGATATAAATAATATTCAAAATGAATGAGAAAAATAAAAATTATTTTAATAATTATTTTTGTTCATATTACAAATTTTCGATAACAATCAGGATATATGATTAATAAGAATACGATCAACAGACACAACAATAAGTAAAAATAAATTGAAACATTTAATGAACTAGTAATTAAACTGTATATTAGACTAAACAAATTGTTCTCTTTAAAACTGACATATAACGCTGAAGTCTTGGCACAAAATATTCGATCGTTTTTTCTCGGCCACTTAAAGACAACCAGTGAGAACCAGAGTTTTTCTGAATATATGTTCAGATTTTCTTTCTGAAGTAAAATTGAATAATTATTAGTGAATTATTGAAAAAGTCCAAAATTGTGTCATATTATAATAAGCGAAATCTCATCTTCATAAAACTGCTCTTTCAAAAAAACTTCTTGTAAAAAAACAAAAGTTTTAAAATGCATCATGCAAAACTAAATAGTACGCTTTGCAGAGCAAACAATACTGAGTCATTAAAAACTGTTTCGCATTTTGAATTTGATAGTTTTCAATCGAAATACAACATTGATCAAAATAGTATTCTGTATAAACATTGTGTTAGACCTTTTGAAATAATCTCATGATAGTTGTTCAATCTTATCTTGGTAGGAAATCTTGAACACAATTTCAGCAAGAATGAAAAAGTCTGTTTCTCACTAACCAGCTGTATTTAGTGATCGAAAATTTCACACCATAAGTCTCCAGTTAGGCAACACTCTTAAAAAATCGCATAAGATTTTTCTAGGTTTGCGCGGTTCGTTTAAACGAATTCATCTTTTGAGATTAGTTTAAACACAGAATGTGTAGTTGATGTATTTGACAGTCGAGTTTTCTTAGAACTATTACAGTTCTTTGGTTTTCGTGTCGTTATGAATAAGTGACGAAAGTTGTGGATACTTCTACAGACTATACATCGTCCTCGCCTACACAGTGATTTTCGTGTGCAATACGATGTGCACGGGGATAAGGTCCATGCATATCGTGTAGAAGTATCAAGTTGTGGAAGATTATATGATTTGACTCTGATTAGGGTATCGAGTTGTATTTGAAGTGATCAATCATTGTCACTAATCTCAATTTTGTTTATTCTTTCTTTTCGTTGTCTAGAGCCATATTAGTTTTTTACTTACGTCAGCAGAGATAAAGATGCAGCGAATAACATTAGTTAGCTTTTATTAATAAGTTTTGATATTATATATACGATATTTTATAAATTTCTCATCCATTTCAATTCTTTATATTTGTTCAGTATCTAAAGTTGGACAGAGATTGAAGGTATATGTATTCAAAGAATAATATCTCGGCTTGTCCGCGTAACGCGACACTTCGCTGATCAAGTTTTGAAAAAAGTTTTTTTCGAGTTGGACAGATCTCATTGGACTATTAGATGCAGTTTTTTACGCTGATTACGAATTTGATATTGATTTAGCATAAAAATCAGATTTTGATATCAAAAATC